GCCCTGCCCAGGTCTTCCACACCTTGTTTTCTGTGTCCATAGGTAATGCAATATCCTAATATAATAAAAGGCTAATATGCAAATCGACCAAACAAGCGGAACACCCAGTTGCTAATGACACGCACTGACCACCAGAGGGGCAGACGCTCAACACAGGAGCTGCCCCCTGGTGGTCAGTGCACTTCAACCGGGGGAGTGCTGCTCAGCCAGAAACCAGCCGCATGGCTGGCAAAGCACAGTGGCGGTGGCTGGAGCCTCTCCCGCCTCCACTTCAGGCGGGCAGTAAGGAGTAAAGGGTCCTGGACTGCAAGAGCCCCAGACTGTGAGAGGGATGTCTGACTGCCAGCTTAGGCCCGATCCCTCTGGACGTCCCCCAGGGGGTTCTGTACTGTGAGAGGGCGCAGGCCAGGCTGAGAGACCCCCCCAACTGCATGAATTTTGTGCACTAGGCTTCTAGTCTATATATAAAAGCCTAATTTTGCTAAGTGTCCGTTTCAACTGGTTGCTATGACACGCACTGACCACCAGGGGGCAGACACTCCAACTGGTAGGTTAACTTGCTGCTGGGGTCTGGCCAATTGATCGGAACTGGGCGAGACAGGCCGGACTGGCCCTGGAGCCAACCTCCCACGGTCCCTCCCCAGCCTCTAGAATATTTCTTCTAATTAATTTTCTTTCAGTGTGCACAAATCTGTGCACCGGGCCTCTAGTATGCATATAAGATCTTTGGTTTATTCCCTGCCCCCCCTCCCCCGCCTCCCCCGGCCCTGTCCCCTTTCCTTCGGAGATTTGTCAATCTGTTCCATGCCTCTGGTTCTGTTTTACTCATCAGTTTATTTTGTTCATTAGATTTCTTGTTTGTTTATTTTGATTTTTAGATTCAATTGTTGATAGATATGTATTTATTACTATTTTATTGTTGATATTTTGGTTCTTTTTCTTCCTGTTCTTCCTCCTCTTCTTCTTCCTCTTCTTTTTTTTTTTTTTTCCGATGCAAAAGCATAAGAGTCTTTATTCGAGCTAGCTCGGCTCCCCCACCTCGCTGACACAGCAGCAGGAAGCAGAGAGCTTCTTCCTCTTCTTAAGGAATACCCTTCAACATTTCATGTAATACTGTTTTGGTGGTGATGAACTTCTTTAGCTTTTTCTTGTCTGTGAAGCTCTTTATCTGACATCAATTCTAAATGATAGCTTTGCTGGGTAGAGTAATCTTGGTTGTAGGTCCTCACTTTAAATATTTCTTGCCACTCCCTTATGGCTTGCAAAGTTTCTGTTGAGAAATCAGCTGACAGTCATATGGGCATTCCTTTGTAAGTAACTAACTGCTTTTCTCTTGCAGCTTTTAAGATTCTCTCTTTGTCTTTAATCTTTGGCATTTTAATGATGATGTGTTTTGGTGTGGTCCTCCTTGGATTTCTCTTGTTTGGGACTCGCTGCGCTTCTTGGACTTAGAAGTTTATTTCTTTCACTGGGTTGGGGAAAATTTCTGTTATTATTTCTTCAAATAGGTTTTCAATTTCTTGCTCCCTCTCGTCTCCTTTCAGCAGCCCCATGATGTAAATGTTGGTATGCTTCAAGTTGTCTCAGAGGCTCCCCACACTATCTTCATATTTTTGGATTCTTTTTTCTTTCTTTTTTTCCTCTTTTTTCTTTTTACTCTTCTGCATAGGTGTTTTTTGCTTCTTTATATTCCAAATTGTTGATTTGATTCTCATAATCCTCTACTCTATTGTTGAATCCCTGTAAATTATTCTTTATTTTAGTTAGTGTATGCTTACTTTATGACTGGTCTTTTTCATGTCTTTGATGTTCTCACTAAGATTTTTGAAATTCACACTAAGATCACTGAAGCTCTCATTAAGATCCTTGAGCAACCTTAATAACCATTGTTTTGAACTCTGTATCTAGTAGTTTGCTTGCGTCCATTTTATTTAGTTTTCTTTCTGGAGATTTCTTCTGTTCTTTCATTTGTGACATGTTTCTTTGTCTCTGCATTTTGGCTGCTTCCTTATGTTTGTTTCATTGTATTAGGTAGAGCTGCAATGTCTCCTGGATTGGTAGAG